TAAAAACATAAAAATATTTTTATAATCTGTCTCCGATTTTAATGAAAAAGTTTTGTGTCAATACATAAAGATTATTGGAAGAGATATGTTAGAAAGGAAAATGCTTAAAAGAAAGTCTGTTCCTCGATGAAGCAGATCTAGATATCAGCAATGAAGATCCAAATTTGCAGATAACAGCACAATGTTAGAGCTAGACTTGACAGAAAAGAAAAGATCTTCAAACGTTATTAGGCAATACGGTTACTTTCTGATTCAAAAATATATAATGATGAATAAATATAGAAAAGAAAACAGGCAATCTTTTTGTAATTTAAAATTACCCCAGGTCGGTGGCCAGACGGGAAAAAAAATAAAGTAAAATAAAATTACCCCAAACTGGTGTTCCCACTAAGGACACTAAGAGGCACCCTGAAAAAGGAACAGTCTATTCTCAAATAAGCATGGGATATGTTAATTTAAATAAACCTTCTTTTCTGAGTTATTTCTCAAAATCCTTAGTAAACTAATATGCTAATGAATCTCCACAGGAAACACATAATTTGTGTAGCAGTTACCAGACTTAATTTATTAGGAGCTCTAATTTTCTATGAAGTTTAAAATACTATGCTAAGCCAATTTAAATTCTATCTTATCAGAGTATCCTATAGTCTGTTTTAAAACTTATCAAAAATTTAGAACCAAAATAATAATCACATCCTGATTAAGATAGTTTTCTGTTTTCCTAGTAACATCTAAAGAAGCCAGTTGATAATCAATAATCATTAGTTATACATTTATAAGTATTAATATTTATGTGTAATTAAAACATAAAACCAACAAAGTTATCAAATCTCCTTGATAACAGACCCTACAAACACCCAACAACATTCTATTCATCACTCCCAGCTATTCTGATGTATTTTAAATTGAAAGCAAAAAGCAAAGTACAAGAAAGAATGCCAATATGCCTTTCACCTAGATACACTAAATGTTAACATTCATTCTCATTTGTTTACCTCCCCTCTCTCTCTCCACACATACACTCCGCTAAATATATGGGGGTGCTGCATACATTTTTATACACATTTATGTATTTTTTTTCTTTGCTTAACAATGTATAACAGGTCATTACAGCCATCATGACCTTACTAGTAAGTACATCAACACCTGTCTTCTAAGAAAGGTGGTATTTTCCTACACAATCACAGAACAATTATATTCAGAACATTTACCGTTGGGACAATACTATTACCTAACACACAATTCATGTTCAAATTTCATCAATCATTCCAGGAATGTCCTTTATAATAAATCCACTGACATTTTAATCAACAGTTTATTCAATATCTCTCCTTCCCATCATACAACCAAAACTATTAAAAATTAATGGTGAGATATCTGGGCAAAGAAATTTGGATTTCTAGCTTGCCTTTAGAATAATGAAAGCCAAATGCATTTTGAAACTATCCAAAGGCATTTTGAAAATAATAAGGAACTGTATTAATAGAATAACACTGATTTTGATTGTTCTTACTCAACTTAATTTCCAAGACTTGTTAAGCACAGTACATTAAATGTCTCAACTGGGCACAAAGTTTTTCTTTTCACAAAAATCACCTTATAAGACTACAAAGAAAAATAAGTGAATCCCAAAACAAAGAGAAAATGTGTATAAAGGCCACGTTATGTGACCACAATGCTAAGAAACCAAGAAATTAATAGCCAAAAGTTGAACTGAAAGAATCAAAACATTTGACTTTTAACAACTCTTGTATTGATAAGGAAATGCCAAAAACTGTAACTAAAAACCAATTAAAAAAAAATAAAAACCAAATGAAAACCTTGGGATATGTGCTCAAAGCTGTATTCACAAATTCACAATGCTAAATCTTTTCTTAATGAACAAAAAGCAAAAACCAATGCAACTTTAAAGGAAACTATGTTAAAGATTAACATAGAATTTGATGAATAAAACCCAAACAATGGTACTTATTGATAATTAACCAAGGGCTGGGTCTTTGGGTGATAAATCATTGG